TTGTTATTCTCAACTGCGGAGTGGGGACTGTTTATCAGTGATGTCACACTTGGGATAGAGAAATTGATTCGAGGATAAAGTGGCTGACTTTATATGACTAGTTGTTAGATTAACGATTGCCAACCTAGACACTTGCTCAGTAAAATATGTAAGAACAAGAAAATATGTCTGAAGATTATCGTTCAGTTCAACCGAAGAGCATAACCACAAAATTATAAATTGGATAAATAGAAACTACGTTGCACAGGAACTGGGGTAGGTTCATGGCTTAAGCGACTTACAGATGCATATTAAGAACTGTCATGCTCTGAGCATTGTGCTAAACCTTGTCATAGCAACAACACTCTATGTAATGGATTGAGAGATCGATCTATGAGAGGAATCGAACCTACAACCTCACTACAGAGAGTTTCAGATTGCCTAACCTCTCGTCCATAGAGGCTCTACTGTTATACTGGCAGATTCGCCTATATAGAGGGTGATTTAAAGGACCTAAAAGGCAAATAGAGGACATCCAACATATCTACCAAATTTTTTCGATTTCTGGGCGAATTAAAACAAAACAAAACTATTTTATTTTTGAAAAATGAAAAAATCGAGGACTGTCCTCTGAAAATAAACAAGCAGATGGTCAGCCTACTTATATATGGCTCGATACCAGAGATTTCCTTCTAAAGAAAGCATCTGGTGCTTGCTTTGACTCGTGACATCGAAAACCCTTGCTATGCTGCTAATTGGAAGTAATTAATCCCTAGTTCCTTCCTTAATTTTCCCAATAAATCAAATAAACCTCCAAAAAACTCTCATTTTCAATACACATTATTACCGAACAACCCCCAATTCTTCAAATTTCAAGAATATCCAACACAGAAGATTGGCATCTGTAGGACGAAAACATAAATACAGTTCAAGCATTCCCCATCAAATAAAAAAGAGACGGGTTTTACTCACTTTAACTTTTTTTACATTCTTTTTTTTTATTGAATGGAAATGAAGTGTAATAAAAAAAATTTCGCCCAAAGGACATTTTCATGATCTAAAGGGAAAATTAAGCGTAAAATGCCTCAAAATGAAATATGAAAATTAAAGTAATGAAACTCATAATAAGGGTCATGAGTCACAAATTGCAATAAAAAGTATAAAAAAATTGTTGGGTTAATGTTGAAAATTAAGATCATAATTTTTTGTCTTCTATCACCTCGTTTATATTTCTTTTTTATTGTTGGACAGTCTCCAAGGGAAAGAGGATTATGAGGTTTGGTTCCTGGGGTGTACAATTTATTCATATTTCCGTAAAAGAGTTTTTATGAAATATTTTTTTAATTGAGTTTATGAAATATTTAATTCAGGTGATATTAAAAATTGCTTTTGAGGACTTTTTGATGTGAAATGAAATTTTAAAATGTTAATAAAAGTTATAATTGAAAAAAGGTTTAAATGAAAAATAAATGGGTCATTGAGTTATGACGTCTTACATTAAGGGAAGAGGGATAGAGCACTTAGGATGGAGATTTTGTTGCACAATTTTGAATGATTTGTGATTTTTAATTTAGCAAAGTTCAAAAATGATGTTGTTGATTCTTGTTGTCTCAACCCCCTAATGACGTCAGATTAAAAACTTTTCATTCTGTCAAACACACACCCGACACTAAAATTAAAATGTATTCATAGTTTTCCAAGAATAAAATTTCAGACTAAGCATATTATTAAAAATTAATTTCTATGGTGCTAATTACATTGGTTTTTCTAGTGATTTACAATATACAAAAATAGCTTGTTACAAAATATTAGCTCAGCTTTTGTAAAACATTCCATCAGTCACAGAAATTTTCATTAAATTTGACAAATTTCTTGCATGTTAAATTCCGCAATAAATTCTCAATATTAATTTAAAGGACAACAATTGTGCTATCAGATACTCTATGATGTATTAATCACCCAAGAATCTCCAAAAATAAATCAACATTTTATTAAAAAACCGAGAAAATCTTTCATAAAATTTTCATTAAATTCTCAAAAGCCTCACAAAAAAAGTTTCTCTTTACAACAAAAGACCAGAACCTTTGAAGTTGAGAGCAATAACTTTTAATAATGTATTATACAAATAGATATCATTTTTGCGCACGAAAGGAAGGAATTACACTCGAGACTAATTCATAAATTATTAATTTTAATTATGATAAAAATGTGATGTTATAACTTGTTAATAATAATCGTTAAACTTTTCCCTTTTTCATCTTTCAATTTTTATTTTATCCAACGCGGCAATATTTGCTTAATCATCATCTCATTGTAATTGAATCCTTCAATATCATTAAAGTGGAATAAGAAAGGATTATGGTAAGGTTGGGGTGATTTTTGTGCGCATTTTTCGATTCTTGCTCAGTTTTGCCATTATTTGTTCACTTTTGTTTAATTTTGTTGAGTTTAACTCATTAATTGCTCAATTTTACTCAGTTTTACTTAATTTTGCTCAATTTATGATTAATTCTAGTTCAGTTAAACACAATATAGCATAGTGTTGCTCAATTTCAATTGTTCACAGTCGTTGATCAGTTGTGGGTCAGTTTTTGTTCAGTCGTAGCTCAACTGTTGCTTAGGCTCAGTTTCTGCTCAGATTACTCAGATTGCTCAATTGTTTCTCAGATTGCTCAGTTGTTTCTCAGTTTGCTCAGTTGTTGCTCAGTTTGTTCAGTTGTTGCTCAGTTATTGCTCAGTTTGCTCATTTGTTGCTCAGTTTTTTTTCCGTTTGTTATATGTAGTCAGTCTGCTCTGTTTGGTCAGTTGTTGCTCAATTTTACTCAACTTTGCTCGGTTGTTGCTCAGTTTTGCTCGGTTGCTGCTCAGTTTCACTCAATTTTGCTCGGTTGTTGCTCAGTTTAGCTCATGTTTGATTAGCCTAAGTCGTCTTTTGATTACTTTCAACTCTTTAGCCCCAACTCACGAGTCTAATGACTTTGATATTATCAGCAATTCTTCAAATTACGACCTCATTACCCTTAATTACCAACTCATTCCACTTATCTCCCCTCAACAAATTAAATCATCTTTAGCAAATTATTAACAGCCTCAACTGCACTTTTTTGTCAATTCATTCATCAGCAGCCATCGTGTCACCTAATCTAATCGCGTTATACAATCTGAATAATGAAGCCAAGCAGAAAATTCCGCTCAAAGGAAACGTACACAGCAAAAAAAGAGTGAAGGAGAAAAGACTTGAAAGTTCCCTTTGATACCAAAAGGCGCCCAATCTTTTGTTAATTCATCCCTTTACGCTCTTTTCATCTTTATATCACCACCACGCCTTTCCATTAAAAAGAAACTTTACATCCACACAACTTTAGTGATTTTTATTATGATAATAATAAGACACAAGCAAATTAATCATTTAAAGACTCGTGACGTTAGTTTTCTTTTTGGTAATCAATTAATTATTCTTTCAGCTGAGAGATCACAGCCGAGCTGTAATTTTTGACGATAATGAATATTATGAGAAAATTTTACGTGGTGTCTTAATAGCTACCTTTGCATAAAATTTTAAACTTTGCTAATTATAATTATAGCTGATACAAAATTTTCAGATAATTTTCAAGTTGATTAAATTTTGCTTTTTTTGTGGGATTTTTAGTGGAATTTTAAAGAGATTTTCTGTTTGATGAGAAATGAAATTTGATGTGCTGATTAAAAAAAATCAGATATGGATATAAAGCAGGTGATATCTGAGGCTTGTTTGTAATGCAACCTGAGGCAACGGATAGGGAAGATCTAATAGGGTGCTACAGAGCTAGGTTAAGGGTAGACAAAGGATATCTTAGGTCAAGCAAGATATTCTTAGGAGGGTTTGGGACATTTGCCCGCTGGTATTTTTGCCCACTGTTACTTTTTCAGACTAGAACATTAGCCCACTGATACTTAAGCATCAGGAAGGTTAATATTGCAGGTTGCCTAATGTCGCAGACATTTAGTAATCTAGGATGCGCTTTTGGGGAATACTCTTACTGATTAGGGAGATGCTCTCAAGTAGCAGACCAGTTTCTATAGCTTTTTGGGGCACCTTAATGTAGAAAATAATTAAGCTCGATGAGCTACAATCCCAAATGGCACAAGTCGGTTAATCGAATAGAAATCCGTTGCCTAGCCGGTATGACTCTGGCATGGTGCTAGCTTTGATTTAAATCCAGTCCCTTGCCAGAGTCACACCAGCTTGGTGCCGGATTTCTGATTAATTAACCGACTTGTGTCATTCGGGAATATGGAGTATAAATAAAATGAATAAGACACTAGAGCCGATGGCAATAGTAATTAAACAATAAACACTAAAATACTAAAGAGCTGTCAAAAATTCCATAAAATCTCAACAGATTCCTTTAATCTATGACAACAACACAGCATCAAAACCAAATTACTTCTCATTCCAAAAATCGCTAAGAAAATGACAAAAGATGAAGAAATGTGAATCTTTACATGCATACTTTCTACAGCTTCTTATTACACTTACAAAAGTGTCATACAATCTGAATAGTGACATGTGTATCTAATACCAAACATTCCTTACTGTTCTCATTTATTTCCAGGCTTTAATCTCTATATTTCATCATTATTATCCAAAAACAGGAAAGAAGAATTCTCCCAACAAATTAATGTCTTTAAGCATTTCGCACAACTGCTACTCATGCTGTTCCAACTCAACATTTTGTGAATTTATTGTGGCTCAATTATCAAAACAGCAACTTAACTAAAACAACATAATGATTGTGTATGCGTAGATATATATGTGAATTGCTGTTAGATTATGAGATAAAGACACACAAGTAAAAGTTTTTTTTTATCCATGAAAAATTACCCAATTCAGATACAAATTCCGACTAATGCCTAATATAATTAATTTTGGAAATAAATAGCTATTGTGACAAAAACTTGCTACGCATATATAATCGTAATAACTTTTAAGGCAAAACACATTTCATCGTAATAAGCACAAAAATATACACAGGCAAGACATGTATCCATCGTGTGCGAATTTAACTGATCCGCATGAGTTCAGCATATGCGATCCGACCAGAAATGAGACGGAACCCGAGCCAATATTTGACGAGGATTTAGAGAAAATAGTGTCGATGACAGTTTTTGTATTATTTGGTATAATATTCGTTGTTGGTTTAATAGGAAATGCTCTAGTGGTTATCGGTAAGTATTTGATGACAACAACAATCATGAAATTTAATTGAATAAACATTGCAGGGAGTAAATAGCTTGGTTGAGCGAGCCAAATTAAAATGTTTGTGTTCGAAATATTTTATGCTTCATTTGATTTATAAGAGATCGAAGAGTAGGGGCTGTATGGATTTTACTAATCATAGTACCTGTGGTCGGCAAAGAGCTTATAAAATCAGTTGAAACTTTAAAGGTTTGAATTTGAATTTTTAAACATTTCGGGCAGGAAAATTTAAATTCAGGAAAAACGTTATTTGATCATAATTTGTTTTGTTGTTTTTAAGTCATTTTGCTATTAAATAATATAGAACTTAGTTTATTTCATAGCCTTTTTGGGTCAGTAAACATTTTGATATTCAAAAAATTAGCATTAAGTAGCTTAATTCACAAGACTTTGAGATTTCTGAAATAATTTTTTCCTTCGTCATGTTTGTTTACATTTTGACGAAAAATATTTGAAAAAGAAAGCGCGAAATTTTATTAAAACCAGATGAAATATTGAATCCATAAATAGTTTAAAACAAAGAATGTGTATCTATTTTATGTTTAAAATAGAAATCTGTAAGAAAACACAAGGATTTTGGCTGAAAATTAACAAAATTTTCTGATTGGCTAAAATTCATAACGGATTAAGTTCTAAAAATAAGAACTACTAAAAAAGTACTAAATCTAATTGTTCTAAAAATAAGATCCGTTTACCTACCACAGCATAGTACATAATAATAATAATAATTACGGAATTTTCCAAACCAAGCTATTATCCCCCTTAACATGTTGACGATCAACCTCCATTATTAATTTCAATGCCAACAATGAAAAAAAATTAATTACTATTTTTCCACCCATCCACAGTGGTTGCGTTCAATCCATTAATGAGATCAACGACGAACATTTTAATAATCAATTTAGCAATTTCGGATTTAATGTTTGTAATTATGTGTATACCTTTCACGGCTAGTGATTATATTTTAACAAATTGGTAAGTATGTCTTTCCCCAAAATACCAATTAAGCCAAAATGCCATAAAAACATCAGCATCGAATGCTGTGGTCATTTAAATAAAATACGAAAATTTAATTAACAATAAAAGATGATTAATTGTTGTGAGCTGTTGCTGAATTATTTATTTATTGAACCGTTCCTTCAAACATCCAAATGCTGTTCAATTTTTTAGCAGACATAAAAAAATTTCACTCGCAATAAAAGCATACATTCATCGTTTTATAGACACCAAGCTTCTTTTTTTTATGCGAGAGATTTTGTGCATAAAAATTCTTCCTCTCGATTTTATTTCAATTTTCTCATTGTGTGTGTCCATGGTTCTGAGTTTAAAGCTAAAAACCTTTTTTCTTTTTCATTTATGGGTAGACGAGAATGTAAAATGAAATTTGATATACATGTGGGGGCGATCATATATTACGTCTATTGGGAATTTTTGAGTTTTCGAGGAATAATTCTTACCTTATTAATATAATTCCCCCCCCCCACCCTCCTGGTGTCAAATTTTTCATGTTTTTACAAAGCCCCATCAACTTTTGGACAATCTGAACGCGCCATCACTCAAATAATCTCAATCAATAATCCACAGCTATATAAATCCCTAACACCCCCCCCCCCCCCCTCCCCCACCCTTCCACTCCTATCTCAGAGTTAAATTTTTCATTTCGTTTCTAAAATTCCTTTTTGACCAAAAAAGATCCAATAATCTCAATGGATACTCCAATAAGCCCCACCTCCCAAAATAATCCACATAACAGCTTAACGACCCCCTTTTCAAAAATCGTAAACTTTTTTTTTCTAACGTACTAAAATGCTTGAGACGTAAATTTAATGTCTATATCAAAATTGATGAAAAACTTTTTTTTCTTTTTCTGATAGGAATGAAGTAAAGCTCCTCAATTTTCTCCCATACGAAACATTCACATATATTCAATTTTTTTTGTTTTTCTTTATTTCTGTTTATTTAACTGCTGCGTGTCATTTTCATAGCTTTCATTTCTTTCTCGTTTCCCTTGATGATGTCGAAACTTTTATATGAAATGTATTCATATAAAGACAGAATGAGAGAGATGTGTAATGTATCTCATCATCTAGTTCAAATGGATATACACTTATTTTATGAGGGAGTTTAAGGGGAGATGAAACTTGGATATAGAGGAAAATAGAAATTTGTAGAGAATTTGTCATCAAAAAGAATTGAAAAAGTTTTTGTTCTATTTTGTTGATGTAGAAATTTGACCCAGTTTTTATTTAAATAATTTTTCAACTTTAACTATTGAGCAATGCCACTATGTGACCATTTGACCATGCAACCATGTGACCATGCAACCATGTGACCATGTGACCATGCAACCATGTGACCACGTGACATGTCAAAGACAACTTAATAGTAATTGAGATAGGAAATCAGTTATATATCACGAAATTTTCACTTCTTATTGGCAATCCCATTAAAAACAAAATTTCTACAAAGTTGCACACCCCTTTTTACAAAATAATTCAAAATTTTAATGAACACTCCCAAAGACTGCCTCCAACAAAAAATAAATAGAAGTGTAAATTTTTACTAAAGCAATCAAGACGATTTAGCACAACTTAATCGTTTTTCACTCTACAGCAGCACAACATACACTCAGGAATCTCAGGAGATATAAAAATCTATCTACCGACATCAAAACTTTTTCATCCATATGAACTAGATCATGACGAAGTGAATGAAAATTGAGATTAAATTCATCCGTTCCCTCCTCTCAACAACACCTCACTTTATATTATATTCTATTAAACTTTATGAGCTCACTTCCCCTCTGTTTTGTGTGTAAAATGAGAATGAGACGAAAAAAAAGTTTAATTATGTCATAGAAAAAAAATTAATTTCATAATGAAGAATGTCACAGTAATGGTGTGAAGGCATTAAATTAATATTCAAAATGTTCACTCACTTATTCTACATTATTATTACTACTTCTTTCTTTATAGGCTTTTTGGGGATCTATGGTGTAAATGTGTACAATACATGATTGTAGTCACGTGTCTTGGTAGCGTCTACACACTAGTACTTATGTCATTAGACAGGTTTCTTGCTGTCGTTCATCCTATTTCGAGCATGTCGATACGAACGGAAAAAAATGCCTTAATGTAAGTTGATGGAAATTATGTAAAATTATTTTTTTTTCTATTGTTATGGGATGTGACTTTGGATTCGTTTTAGTGGATGGAGGATTTTTGAGAAGATGTGTTTGGAGATTGAATTGAATTGATAATTTATTTAAATTCAAAACAATTAACTCGACTGCAGTTACAACTCATTTTGTTCGTATTTTATGTTCATTTTTAACATTAATGTGACATGTGACATGTGACGTGTGACATGTGACGTGTGACGTGTGACATGATACAGAAGAATTTGATTCCTTCAATGGCTATGTCTACAAATGTCCACTGATGGGTTATGTAAACTTAATACCAATCATGAAACCACAAAACAATTTCTCAGATCAAAGCAATCTTAGCAATTCCATTCAATGAATTTTTCATTGTAATTCAATGGAATCAACTGAAAAAAGAACAACTGATAAAATTCCAAAAAAGAACTTTCAACAAAAAAGAACTGCAAGTATTTTTATCAATACAAAAAGAATCTCCATCGGAGATATTTCCACAATTTAATCCAATTCAACAGAGTTTTAAACTTTTTTGTAAGAAAGTTTTCTGCTTGATACTGTTCTTTGTAAAATTAGTACTTACATTTTTTATGATGAACTTCGAAGTGGCATCAAGCTTTTTGATTATTTCTCGGAAGCTTTTACTGGTCATTTTTACAAACTTTTCACAACTTTTCACTTTAAAAAATAAACTCACAGAAATTCACATTAAAGATTCTATGTCAATGGTTACTTTGATTTGATAATGCAAATTAATGAGATTGATCAATTTTGTAGTTTGTAACATATCATATATGGCATGCAACATGTGACATGTTAAGTTGGTGTTGCTTTATCACCAATATCTGGAGGAGCTGCAACATACTCTTAACGTGCATGGTAATGACAAGCAAGGAGCAATTAAGTTGGCGATTATGTTGAATTATCAATAAGACATAACACATGACACGTGTCGCAAGCAACGTGTCACGTGTCACATGCCACATGTTTTAGTTCATCGCTATATCATTTTTTCCAAAAATCTAGAAAAATTCTTCATACCACGAAAGCACTTCATCTTATAATTCAGTTCCTCTTCATTTTCTTTTTATTATAAACAATTTCTCATCCTCAAATCTTCTTCTATCCATTTACACCTAGAGCGATAATCCTAGCATGGATTCTTATTTTTACGACTGCAATTCCGACCGCAATATGTCATGGTGAGGTATCCTATGTGCATAAAGGAGAAAATCACACAGCCTGCTTGTTTCTATCAGAACAAGGATATCGTCATGATTTATTCCAGGTAAGTGTTGTATTACATCCTATATTACATGCACATATGCTCGATTTGTCAATGCCCGTTGTGTCTTCCATTGATGAAATATTTGCGATATGAAATTGAATGAAAATATATTCGAATCACGAACAGTTCATACTGCAACATTGACACACAAGATATATATATGGAAATAAAATGACATAAGAGCCTAAAGGCTTTACGAAGAACATGGCAAAGTAAGAGGGAGGGCATGCGACAGAATGACTAAATTAATTATGTATAGCCCAACACTCAACATTAAAAGTCTTCCCATGATAACGTTTTATGATGTACGTTGTGTTTGTTTCAAATGGAATGTTTCATTCTAAAAAAGGACCAAATGTGGTCGATTGTATGTGACTGTGGACTTCCGAGTGGAGAAGCTATTAGAACTAGATTATCAGTCACTATCTTCTATAGACAACGTTGGTCAAACATCCTTCAATTTTAACTTTGAGTTGTTCCACTGAAATTTCAAACAAAACAAGCCAAATATGCCATAAATCAAGTTCCTCATCATTTGATTCCAGTAATATAACATAAAAACATTAAAACTCAACCAGGATCATCCCACAGTATCCAATATACTCAATAAGTATCGCATCACTGTACAAAAGCAGCATAAATTCTCCTGATAATTTCGCACGGAATTTTTATAGGATTTTTATGATCCCTAAAGGAACAAATGTGTACATAAGAAAATTGAGACTTATGGTCAATATTTCTCTTACTCAAGACTTTGATCTTCACAATTTATTTGCCTTTATCTTAGTATCTACAATTTCAACAAGCAAAACAATGAATGGAACGAGAAGAAAGTGTGAAAATAAAACATAAAATCAGCCACTCCCTCAACTTGATATATTTCTTTCTTTTTCTATGAACTACATAAAAAACATAAATCCCATAAAATGGAAAGTAACAAGTCTATAATGTTATTTTTTTCGTGTATGTTCATACATACATCTCGAGCAACCAAATGAATATTGTGATGATAAAAGGGAACAATTTCGAATTTTGTAGAGGCATCTAGTAAAGGATGTAGCTACATATGGCGCATCTTTTGAAGTGATATGAATTCAGGACTCTAACTTAAGTCACCTTAGTGATGTAGGTGGAATTTAGCCAATTTCACTTAAGTAAAACTTATTACGTAATGCGTTACGTCATTTTACATACGTTTTTTTACGTAGCCCACCTCGAAAAGTTTTTTGTCAATTTCCAGCAATTGAAATGACTATTTTAAAAGATACTAAACCAATCTATTCAAAAACATGGCAGCAACATTTCAAACAATAGTCTACATCGAAAAATCATAATAGGAAGGATCAAACCGACAAACAGACAAAACATGTGGCCAACTAATAACATGTACTAATAACAACTGTATTGGGTTAGAGATTCATGCTTCTGATATAAACATCCTACATAGTCTATTATTTTCACACAGTTAATAATAGTACCACTGTTCTATGTGTTTATCAACAAGAGTACGCTACAACAACATAACTTATACTTATTACCCTGAGCTGTGTGCATGCCTCCTACATATATATATAATGATAATAATAATTCAATTCTACCTTCCAAACAGATATCGTTCCTTCTCTCATCTTATGTCATTCCATTGTCATTAATATCGTTCCTTTACGTTGGAATGTTGTCACGTCTTTGGAGTTCTGGTGCTCCGGGTGGCGGAAAAGGCTCGAAAGAATCCAGGTATGATTTAAATGCTTGTCTACATATGCTTTATTTACCTCCTCCTCATCAACAAGATGATGTTGTATTTTTTTGTTGTTTTATATTTTTTTTTTGCTTTTTCTTTCCGCTGATGGTTGAGTGGTTTTTTAAAAGGAAGCGGTTAGAAGAAGGGAAGAAAAGTGAAAGCATCGAAAGGCAATGTTCACAGAAAAACAAATGTTTCGTATATCGTCATCGTATAAATAAATGGCTGGAACGCATTTGTGCTAGAAAATGGTAACAGGAAGAGATGGTGATGGCTTTATATGAATGAGTAGTGGATGCATTAATTGGGATTGATTAAGTGAGCGCATTTTTCTGGGGGAATAGTGCGTTTATTGTATTAGAGTACCAGATTATTTGGATAATAGGGGATTACGTACTAGATCATTGGAATACCTAATGTACTAGAGTACCAGAAGACTTAATATACTAGAATACTAGAGGATCTAATGTTCTAGAGTACTAGATGACTTGAAGTACCAGAGTACTAGAGAGTCTAAAGTACCAGATTACTAATGGACACAATGCACTAGAGTACATAATGTACTAGAGTACTAAAGGACAGTCCAAAGAATCTAATGTACTAGAGGACCTAATGTACTAGAGTAATAGAGGATCTAATGTACTAAATTACTAGAGGACCTAATATACTAGAGGACTTATATACTAGAGTACTAAATGATCTAATGTCCTAGAGTACTAGAGTCCTAATGTACTAGAGTACTAAAGGACCTGAAGTAGTCTGAATAATCATCCATTATTACTCACTAAAATTACTTCTACTTCACTTATTCCACACATTCTAAAGCCAATTCTAATCTACTATCTTAAACCTACCAATTTCTAAATCTATTTCCATCAAATTCAATCCTAAATGATTCATAACAGCACAAATCAATCAATAAAAGCCAAGTAACATAAAATCATTTATCTTTCGATATTACGACTTACAAAACTTATCCAGCCCAACAAAATGTATAAACAAATGCGTTTATTTTCATAAACACTCAACAGAGAAAAAAAAGATGTAAAGAAGAAAGGAAAAAGTTGTAAAAGAAAAGTATGTAACGAATAAGAAAAAAAAGTCGGTATACACACAAGAACAATAAGAGGAAAATCATGAAAAAGCCATGAAAAAAATAAGAAGAAGTGGGAGCAAAAAATAAAGAATTGTAGAAGTAGTAAAAAGAAAGTAACATAAATTTTACAGCAATTGGCATGATTTCCATCATTTCTTTCCCTGATGGCTTTTAGATTTTTTTCTTTTTCTTACATGCGACCGCTCATTTTTGCCGCATTCTTCATATTATTACTGCTGCCCCAAAGACATTCCATTATTTCATTTGAAATGGACGTGAATAAGGAGGCCTGAATAAAAATCATTAATTTTGTTGAAACAATTTATATATTTGAAAGACTAAATGATTTTTTCTTTTTCATTTCCATTTCATTCTCATTTGCTTAACATTGCAGGAAGGGGAAGAAGCGAGTAACACGATTAGTTGTTTTTGTGGTGAGTAGGCAATAAAATTCATGACTATCTTGTACCTACTTTTTTGTGCAACTAGCAATAGTTGTGATGAGGGAAATTGATGCATGACTTGTGGATCTTTATTAGTCGTTTGTTCTTGGTTTTTATGGAGCTAGATGCTCGAAATATACTCTTTAATATATTAGATTGAAATGATGTTGACTTGATCTAAGGAGGATAATGTTGAGCTAAGAACTGGTTTTTGAGATGAATACGCAACTATTTAAGGGGCCGTTCACTTATGACGTCCAACATTTATGGGGGAGGGGTCTAGATTTTGTAACAGCTCAAATAAAGGAAATTTTTTTCCACAGAAATTTTGTGACAGAGGGGGGAGGGGGTCTAGAAATCATGTTTTTTGATGGACGTCATAAGAGAACGGCCCCTTACAGGTTACTTACATTAACAGATTACATACAGCCAACAATTCCCATTTAGGCGACTCTAGCATTGTCCTAAAGACTATTTTGTTCGTTCCTGGTTATTCTTGAATTCCAACCCCTTAGATAATGCTTGAAGCTGGTTTTCATTCATAATTCAATATCAACTTCCGAATTCAACAACTTATCTTTCAAGAATATCTCGCAAATCATCCAAGAAAAGATCATTAACTCTCAGACAACGCAAGAACCACCATTAAAATTCATTACTTCGTTTTCTATCATCAATTTAAATTTCTAAAGCGACCATTAAAATGAAAATAATGGCTGAATGGAACCGAACCATAAAGACATTTTTCAAATTCAATTACTTAAAAAAGTGTCCCTAAAAAGTTCGATTTTCCCATGGGATCGATTGTAAATGATGTCAGCTGATTTCATTTAAACTTCGTTCTTCACTGTCGGGGATTTGAAGTGGCTTCTAGAACTGCTTGAAGATTGAAATTTGATGAACAACACTTTTGGGTATAAATAAAGCTTCACTATGACTAGGATAAATGCCAGGAGTAGCCAAAGATACAAACCTCCATAAAAAGCTAGTCAAGTCCATAGAACCAAAACTTCGATTCCAAAAGCTAGACGTCAAATACAAACAACCCCCAATGAGAATTATAATGGAAATAAATCGAACATCCATGACCGTTTTCAAGTCAAATTGAGTGTGGAATTTTATGGTCTGTTTACTAAAGATAACTTTCTAAATTATAGCTTCTAAAATTTTCGACAATCAATTAATTTTTCGGTGTCTGAAGATCAAATAAAGATTAAAAAAGTTTCATTGTCTTCTTCGTGCACCACAAAATCTTCATAACGCATGACGACTGCTACATTTAAACCTACACATGAAAGTCGTCACATTTAAGAAGGAAAGCTCACAACCTCTCGCGACCAAAATTTGAAGAATTTCTTTTAACTTCAGCATGACTGTGTATTTCATTTGTGTTAATAATATCTAAAATGAATGCTACATGAAGTTGAAGTAATGCATTATATATACAGTGAGCAATTAAAAAGCAATGGCAACATCATCTTCATCACGAAGGAATGGAAAGGAGTGGAAGGCTCAAGAAGCAGAAGAAAATTTTGTAGCAGAAAAGTATAAGACTCTTAATAACTTTAAAGCATAAGAAAATTGAATATTTGGCCATACTAGAGCCATTTTCAGGCTACACTTGTGTCATGTTCTGGCTTTACTTAAGTGATATTCTAGCTGTACTTTAGCCATATTCTGGCTGTATTTGAGACATGTTCTGGCTATACTGGAGCCATATTCTGGTTAAACTTAAGTGACGTTCTGGCTATACTTGAGCCATAGTTTGGCTTTATTTGAGCCATTTTCTGGCTATATTTGAGCCATATTCAGGATTTGCTTGAGCCATTTTCTGGATTTACTTGAGCCATATTCTGGCTGTACTTGAGCCATATTCAGGATTTACTTGAGCTATATTCTTGCTATACTTAAATAATATTTCAACCATATAAGAAAATATGGCTAGTTAAAACTCAAGACTATCTCTTGGGAATCAAATCTAGCACTCTTGGTGTAGAACCTAATCTAGCTAATCAATTCATCTTTACTGCTTTTCCGCTTTTAAAAAATTAAAAACAAAAACTCCACAACAAAATTCACAACAATTTAAATTAAAAAAAGCCTCAGGCATCATCCATTGCGATTTTAACATTTCAATAATTCCATAAAACTTTTCATCTAGATACGCTAGCATTTATCATTTTCTACATGATTCAATTAGATGAAGAAGAAAAAAAGGCATGCAATGAGCAGCTCATAAGAAAATTAAATTAAAAAATTTCAATTAACTTCTTTTCTCTTTTGTTTCTCATTTTCTCATTCCAGGTCGTCGCATTTTCAATCTGTTGGGCACCAATACAAATTATCCTAGTATTAAAATCGTTAAATCTTTACAAGACAAATGCAATAACCGTCTCAATACAGATCATAAGCCACGTGTTAGCATACTTAAATTCATGTCTAAATCCATTCCTTTATGCCTTTCTAAGTGAAAACTTTAGGAAAGCTTTTAGGAAAGTTATGTGGTGCGGTCGACAGCACCAATCATCTCATTATATCCTAACAGCACCTGATACAAAATCAACACGCACACGTACGGGTGGTAATACAGGAAATGGAGCGCCAAGTGTCGACATTCTCTAAAAATTGGCTTGTGAAAATTGAGAAGCACTAAGTGTAGCTAAATTTACTTATAGTATTATATTACACAACAAAAACAAGCGATGAAAATGGAAAGTTACTTTATAATGTCAATCAAAATCAGTATGGTAAATTTCGTAAATGCCACCCACACTCATCCAGCAGCTACTGTGACATTGATTTTTTTTTTTTTGATGTTGCCGAAAATTTATTTTTGCTTTGTTTTGTTGACTTGAAGATACTTCTTGGAAACCACTCGCTGTCTCGTTGACAAACAAAAAACTTTTTTTTTTGAAGGAGCTAATTTAGCGCATTTTCTATGGTTTGGTATAGAAAGATATAGCTGAGGATACTTTGTCTAGAATGCTGTTGAATTTTCCTTGAAGGATTCTGGGCTAAATCTGAATAATAGAGTTGATCTAGATCTCAAGGGGTATGAAACTAAGTTATATTTAAGAATCTTTGACTGATTTATCAGGTTATTTGATTTGCAAGGGGTGTGCAACTACACAAAAACATTATATTATACTTAACTAAAGTTTAGTAAAGTAGATTTTGCTGGTATTAGGAAGGTAAGGCTCTAATCTGAATGTTGGAAACATGGATCCTGTTACATTTTAATACCAAAAAGGGGAGTGCAACTAAGCTAAGTTATTCTCATTCAAAGTTTCAATGATAATTTTACCAATTAAGCTTAAATTTTTGACCCTAGCTCTTTGGTTAAGTCTTAAGATGAAATTGAAGCAGTTTTAAATTTCAAAGGGGTGTAAAACTAAGTCAAACTAAGTTGACCAGAACAACAAACCTTTAAAAGTAGAAAGTGCGCTATCACAGACCCATTATTGCCAGTCATTCCCAACTTCTTTTGTTTGTGAACATTACAATCAGCAATAGAAAATTTTCATAAATTACCATGACATTCATCATCAACAATTCTCAAATGTCTTCGTTATCGTCAATAACAAAAAAATATTCTAAAACTGGGCGTGTAAATAGCTTAAAGCTATAAAAGTAAACGAACTCAATGGATGGAATGTGTTTTTAAAAAATTCTAGAAAAGTTGAAGAACAAAATAAAAATTTAATGTTGAATTCGGTGAGTAAACATGATGAGGAATACGTTTACTTTTGATGTAGACTCCATTCTTAAAAACAGAACAGCGCACAGAGCTATAGCACGAGAAAATGTTGAATGAAGTAAATGAAATAGAAAGTTTATAAACTTTTCTCCATCCCCTCCTACTCTGTATATTCTAATATATTCCCTTATAAATGAACCAAAAGATATAAGTAAGAAAATGAATTTACCTTTACATATACATGCTTATAATAAGGCATAAAGAGGAATTACATAAAATTCACTGTTTGTACAATTATGGTGCGATCTTGTGGGAAATTTCGGCAGATTTATTTTGATGAGGTTTTGATGCTTGATTAGAGTTGATAACATTTGGGGTTTATGATGTGAAATTACAGAGATTTTCATGTGAAGTGTAGGTTGGAGCAACATTGTTTGAAGCTATTGTAATTTTAACATGATTTTCAATTTTCGAGTATTTTTTGTAAAAGGCTTAAGATTGTAATCTTTAATGTTATTTTCAGCTTGACATGATAAGCTTTTATAATTAAGATTGTTCTGAGAACTTGTTTTAATAATTAAGAACTAAGATTTATGCAAGCAAGTAAGAACATTATTAAGAGTATTGTGCCTAAAACTAAGTTTGTATCTTCAACTTGACTTTTCTTCATTTTAAGGTACTTATTAAAGTGTATTGAAGAAAATCTTTAGTTTTCTGTGCAATTATGGACTCGTTTGGATTCTTCAGTTGCAATACTCTTGGTTAAGAGATTGTCTTTGACTAAATTTGATTGATCTGTACTTGATCAATGTTAGATCAATGTCAGGCACTGAGATATCAAGTAATTAGACCATAGTAGAACTCACAAGTCTTTTACTAATGCTCGTAGTATCAACTAAGTTCTTAATAGCAAAGAATCGAATGCAATTTCTAACTGATTTAACTGTTGTTGTTCAAAACAAAATCACAGAAAAAATCAAAAACATTCAAAAGTCATCTTACTTCCAAATAAAAACAAACAAAACAAAAATAAAATGGAAAAAAATTAAATTCAAATTTAACAAGATAATATTTAAAGGATTAAATTGGTAGAAGTAATGGGATTATGCAAATTTTTTTGATTGATTTTGTTTCTATAAGCTCCTCTCAATGTTGTTTTGTCAATATTTTTGCAAATTCACATAATACTCTTAAGTAAAGATTTCTTTTTGTTTTATTCTTAATGCAAAATATAAAAAAAAATCTACTTAAGGTGCTTCAATAAAAAATCCTCGATAGGATTGATAATCCTGAGTCAGAAAAAGACGAGAAAAGACTCTAAAAATAGAATAAAGAATAAACATCAAAAAGAAAATTTCTCGGGGGAATTTTCTGCATTTATCAATTTATAACAAAAATCATATGTGAGAGGTAGAATGTCAGTCAGAGATAAATTGTCAGTCCTACGCAAGAATCATAAAACAAATGATGTTGAATTTTGATTTAGAATGTGATTTATTCTTATTAACATAAATAAACGTTAGCTTTGCAGACACTAGAGATTCTTGTGTGATCAGCAAACATAGAATCATTGGTAATCTAGAGCTACTCCTATGAATAAAGTAGAGTACATTGAGGAATTTCAAGAACTGTCCTTTGTAGCTTTAAAGTGAAAGGTTTAAAATTTGTTAACTAAGTTCTGCGTATCTTTATGCATTCAAATTTGTGTTTTTAAAGTTTTTGCTTATTTGCAAGTCTAGATTTGATTAGAACATACTCAAGATCAGATGTTTTGTCACAAACAATAAGCAGAGGCTTTTCTAATTGCATCTTACCCTGTAGCACCATATTAAGGCTCTGACAAGCATTTGTAGACCGTTTGATTCGATAAAATGACAAATTGATCTATTGGGATTCGAACTTACGCAAGATACATTGCTGTAATAGAAATAAGAGATCAAACGATTAATCCATTGCTCTACCAATCTAAATCAGCTCAATCAGTTATCATCAGCTAACCCCAACATATAAACTGCCGAAAATATTCCCACAAGGATAAAAATGAGATAAAATATTCCTTATAGACTAGATGAATCCCGTTCCACATGTCTATACATGAGATTTAAGAGAAAATAATCAAAAATTGGGTTCGAAATTTGTACTTTATATAAAAAATACAATAAAAATTCTTTTTTTATAAATGTCAATTGAAGGTAAAGCATTTGAAGAAGTGAAAAAAAAATTGCATAAGCAGCTCTTATTTAAATGTTTGTACTTAAAAAGTAAATAGCGGAATAATTGAAAAAAAGGAGGAAATTTTTTTCACATTTATAAATTTTAAAATTTTGTGTATAGCATATAGTCAAAAAAAAAATAAACATTTGTTAAGCATATATGTACAGTTAAATTTATCGTAAATAGAAAAAAAATGCAAAGCGATATGTAGATGTTAAAAAAAATTTATATTGATTATCAAACCTACCATAAATATCAAAACAGAATTTTTTCATACACAAATATTTTTAAAATGATTGTATTTTCTATTCCTAGCAAAGAAATTTAGAATAAAATTTATGAGAAGATGTAACATTTCTGATTCAAAAGTTAAAGAAGCGTGAAATGAAATTTTCTATTTTTTTCCCATAACGAGGAAGCATCTGTGGTTTGCCAATGGAAGCTTAGAATTGTTGATTGTAAAATTTGGGAAGTTAGTGAAATTGTGTTGCTTCTCGTGGAAGCTTGAATGCTTTCTTCCTATTTTTTTAACCTCAAAATGATGGCAATTTTGAGCAAGAATTCTCTCTTGTGGGGATTGTTTTTGTTTTGTGATGTCGAGTTTTTTTTTGAATCTTCTATATCTTAGTGATATTGTTATATCTCTAATAGTAGACATCATAAGCAAACAAAAAATATATTCCTAATTTCAATAAACATTCCCGATCGGCACATATTGAAATGTTTGCCACCCAGCGAATGGGTTGATGATGATGATGTCCTTTTACTCTACTGTGAAGTGTAGGGCGTTTACGAAACTTTTCAATCTTACGCGATTGCTAGCTAATGCCGCAGGCTCACTGAGTTGATAGCCCTGCTGAGCCTCTTCTTTACGAATAGACGGCTGTAAAGTATCACTAGATCTACCAGGTTTTCGCCTATCCGGGGGATTCCAAAATACAGCTTGTCGCGTTATATCTGCAAGCTCTTTCCTTAACATGTGACCAATCCAGCCCCATTTCCTGTTGCCTATATCATGTGCAGTCGTTTGAAGCGATTTCCAACTAGACAAGGGTCTGCCATTGCTAATTGACTCCAGCTGGTTTCTAATTATACTATCAACCCGGCTTCCAGATGGAAAACATTTCAATTAATTTCAATGTGTACCGATCGGGATTTCCATAAAACTATAAGATTCTAAATAAAATAACCTTTCATTCCTGTTAACAGTCAACTGACTTTTGTAAAATAAAAGATAAATTTTTTTGTAATTCACAAAAAAAACCGCAATAAAATAATTTGTTAAGATCCCATTGGCAGACCACAGAATACAATTTACAAAAAGAACACGAAAGTAAAGAAAAAACAGCACTGAAGAGGAAAAAAATGAGGAGCAGAAAAATAAGAAGAAGAAAAAATTTACATAATTGTTTACTGCTTAAGCGTCTCTATGAAAGTCTCTCGAGAGCCCAGGGGGATTTTTATGCACTTAAGCAATATATCCTTTAGCCTATAAAGAGAAAAAATAAATAAAATTGAGAAGAAAAAAGGTAACAAAAAAAATAATACAAATTTTCTTGCTCAAGTTCTTCTCCCTTAGCTGTAAGTGAACATAAAGAAGTTGTATTAAATTAAATGCGTGTCTACAGACAGAAAAAAAAAGTTTATCTATAATATAAAAAGAGAAAATTATTCGCCTATGAAAAAGGTATGAAAATGCCAATTTGTAATTTTTTTGAGATAGTTACAAAAGAAGAAAAAAAATGTGAATAAAGAAATCATGAAATGAATGAACCAAAAAAAACTTGTTCTTTTGATGCTTAAATTATCTGTTTAATCTTATTTACAACTTGTAGCTTGGGATCTTTTGAGACTTTGTAGGTGTTTTGACTGTCACAATTGCAGACTGAGTGAAAATAATCATGAACTTGGAGTTTAATTGAATTTTTTGACAAACACAAGAAGCTAGCTTCAAAAAGAATGACTTAGCGTGGCAACATAGTCTTTCAATTTACTAGCTTTTTCCATCAACTCTAGTGTATAGATCTACAAAAATCATAAAAAAATATTAATTTCCAAAGGTAAATGACCCCAAACATTATTTCAGGATATCCAAACTATTTCCCAACTCTTTCACCATTTATTAATCAAATTGCATCATATATTAAGTCAGATAGTCAAGCTGTTGATGTAATAATTATTGTTGCAACTTTCCAGACTATTCAAGGA